CAGCTCACAGCAACCTCCAATTCCTGAGCTTTGGTCCCCGCCACAACGCCCAGCTATTTTTTGGTTGCAGCCATCATTGTTGTTTGGCGGGCCTGGGCTGGATTCGAACTGGCCAGCTTAGGTGTATGTGGCTGGTGCCTTAGCCGCTTGAGCCACAGGCACCGAGCCAGCCTCAAACTCTTGAGCCACAGGTGCCAAACCTATAATATATTAAATCAACTTTTTTTTTTCTTTTTAATAGTTTTTGGCCAGGGCTAGGCTTAAATCCGCCATCTCCGGCATATGGGGCCAGCACTCCACTCCTTTGAGCCACAGGTGCTGCCCTCCAAAACGCCTTTTTGTAGTTCTTTTGTGGACCCCTGTGTTTTGAGTTTGCAGGCCAGTAAAGTTTGCTGATCAGAACTCTGTAGCTTTCTCTTTCACCAATCCAGTCCCTTTTGGAATTGTTTTTCCTCACAAATGGCAAAATCTCCTTGCAGCCATGAGGTAACTACAGAGCCCTGCACACCTATTTATCCCTCCCTGGGAGGGCCTTGCATGTGCCCCTCGATCTCCCACCTTGCTTGTGCCTGGATGTGCCCAGGGACAGTGACATTCACTCCCAAGTGTACCACTCATTTCACCTCCAGAAGACTCTGACCCTGACCTGCTGGTTCAGGAGGCGGAGTTGAGTTGAGTTCCTGCAGAAGCATCCTCTACAGTAAACCCTTTCCTCCTCAACAGTTCCCCTTGTCGCCATCCCTGTCTTTCTGTGAGGGAGCAGCAGCAGGATTCTCCCTTGCTAACAGTGGCTCCCATGGTTACTTTCTATTCTAGATGCTCAGGTGTGACCAAGTAATACCTTCATGTGAAGTATAAACTTACAGGATTTTGGAAAACGACCCTTTGGGGACCTAACACATTCAAGGACCGAATGGACCCAGGGACTCAGTTGATACAGACATAGGGTTCAGGATCACAGAGCTAGCTCAAACCAAGAGGCCCACAGGCCCTGGGCAGGTCCTACCTGTGGGCAGATGAAGGGCCACTGTCATTCAGCTTTGTACAGAATCAGGCCTTCACACTATGTCTTTACAGAAACCCAGAGGCATGTGCCTCTATTCTGGTTTGAATGGGCCCCACAAAGTTCATGCAGAAACTTAATCCCCTAAAGCAGTGTGGAGGGGAGAGAGATTACGGGAGTGGGTCCCTGACAAAAGGTTGCACTTGGCCCCTTCCCTGTCTCGAACACTCTTTGGCTCTGTGATGCCCTGTGCCATGTTAGGATGCAGCAAGGAGGCCCTCACCAGACATGGTCCCTACCACGAGGACCCTCTAGGCCTCCTGTTGATGGGTTCCCTAGTCCATGGTGCCCTGTTGCAGCAGCACAAGCCAAGCTAAGACATCTTCGGACCAGGCAGCATTGCCAACAAAGAGCTTCATGGGAAGGAAGCAGGGCTGCCCCTCTGGATATCAAGACAGGGGCCTGAGAAGCATACAGAAAGAAGCCAAGAGCAGGCCCACCCCACCCTGCCCTTCACCATAGAAGACACTGGTCTGAGGCCTTTTAGCAGCTTTTGCAAGCCTGCAAAGGGCAGCCAGCCCAGATGGTATCCCCTCCCAGCTGCCCTGGACAGCTCAGGTGCTAGCACACTTTCCAGCTGTCACCACCAACAGCAGCTGCCCCACAGCTCTCCCACGCTGGGCACATCCCTGAACCTACTTGGAGAAGATGACCATCAGCTTCCTGCGGCTCCTGCGCGGCTCTGCATCCTCCTCAAACCCATCCATGTCCTTGCCCAGGAAGACCTCCTGATGGAAGTCCTTGTTGAGGTGCCCATCCATTTCTAACTTCACCCCGTTCAGGTGGTCTGGGGGCAGGATCTCATTCTGTTCCCTGATGGCTACTCTCTCCCGAGTTGAAGAGTGGTTAGCAGGCCGTGCAGACACGTCCATCAGAAGAACAACCCCCAGGAGCCAGAGGCAGTGTGAAGCCAGGCTACAGAGGGGAACCTGCCTGGATGCCATCACACTTGGGTCTAGAACGTGGGCTGGCTGCACGATGTGGGCTGGCAGCTGGGGGAGGCAGAGGAGTGAGTGAGGTCACAGCTTCAAGCCAACCCTGGGTGCTGCAGAGGGTTCTATGTCCCAGCACAGCTAAGGCTGAGGACAAGCAGCTAACGGCCTGCAGAGAAGACATAGACCTATTGTTGAGGGACCAGCAGACACTTCACTGAACATGTTTGTTTTGCAACATGAAACAAAAATCCTTGATTTACAGGATATAGACCACCTATGACATTTTACTTTTTGTTAGACATTGGGTTTCCAGCTCTGTCTCTCTCACTCAAGACTGTGATCACTTCAAGGGGTTGACCTGTCCCCACAATGCCCACAGCAAAAGTGTCCAGCATTGTTTGACTCCATCCCCCCCAGCTTCATGGTGCTGACCCAGAGGCTTAAGGTTATTCACCAGAACTTTTTTTTTGAGACAAGTCCCACTCTGTTGCCCTGCGTAGAGTGTCATGACATCATCATAGCTCACAGCAGTCTCAAACTCCTGGGCTCAAGCAGTCCTCCTGGTTCAGCCTCCCAAGTAGGTGGTACTACAAGCACCTCCCACAACACCTGGCTAATTTTTTACATTTTCAGTAGAGATAGGATCTCACTCTTGCTCAGGCTGGTCTTGAACTCACTCCCACCTTGGCCCCCTGGAGTGCTGGCATTACAGGCTTGAGCCACCGTGCCTGGCCTGCTCTCCAGATCTTGACTAGAGTGTTATGACCTTGGCTAAATCATCTGACCTCCTTGGCCTCAGTTTCTTTCCCCACAATTTGTGAGGACTGCTGACCCAGAGTGCAGAGAGCTCACAGGCATGGTGCTAGCAAAACACCCATCCGGCCAGGCTCCAGCCCCTCCCACCACCGAACTGTGATGGTCCCTAGACACACCCACATACTCACATGTGCTCCCATGCTTGCAGATGCTCACATTCAAGAAAGCTGGAGCAACAAGGAAGTGTCTCGGCATCTGGACATACCCAGCCCTGGAGGGAGAGAGGCTCAGAGCTTCAACCTCACGCATCCCAAAGGGAGCTCTCCCATAAACCTGCTGCTTCCAGGTGCAGCTGAGGCCCTACCTCTGTGTGCTGTGGATGTTCTCTGAACTCAAGAGGATTGAAACCCCTGCTTTGCAATCCAGTCACTTCCTGGCACCTTCACCACTATCAGCACATGGCAGACACTTAAGCTTGGGTGCTCCAAGTGAGGGAACCTCAGACAGAAGTGCTCACATCTGATTTTCTTAACATGGCTGAGAGCTTCTTCCTTTCCTTCCTCTACTCCTGACCATCTAGCTCACCTGGCCTGGGAAGCACTGGGTAAAAGCCAAGACAACTTCCTCCTGGCATTAATTTCATTAACTTCAGTCATAAAATACATAGGTGTTGGCTTGGTGCCTATGGTGCCAAACACATACACTGAGGGTGGCAGGTTCGAACCCAGCCCAGGCCAGCTGAACAACTGCAACAAAAAAATAGGTGGGCATTGTGGCAGGCATCTGTAGTCCCAGCTACTTGGGAGGCTGAGGCAAGAGAATCGCTTAAGCCCTAGAGTTTGAGGTTGCTGTGAGCTGTGATGTCACAGCACTCTACCAAGGACGACAGTGAGACTATCTCAAAAACTCACACACACAGGTGTGCACAGACTGTACTTTGCTCCTTGAGAAGGTAGTCAGTTCTTGATTCTATGATTACATGGACTTACACACACAACCCCCCCCCCATAACCGTATAAATATCAAGGGCCTGTCATATGAAAAGTTTCCCCCCCCAGTTCAGTATCTATCCTATCAAGTTACTAAAGTAGCTGCACAGCTAGACACATTAGCCAATAGCAGCGTCCTCATCCTCCTCCGCTCACGAAAATAGGACGTCAGGGAGCAGAGATTGTTCTTACCAGAGGAGGTGAGCAGCGTTAGAATAACCAGTTCTTTACAAGGTCTCAATAAACACTTGCTAAACGGGGCTGAGAACACCTTAAGTGGAGATAATGTCTCTTCACCACCCCTGATTTTCCGTCCTGGTGACACTGGGCCATTTCCCATCATCAAGAACACACCGGGCCGGCTCGGCGCCTGTGGCTCAAGTGGCTAAGGCGCCAGCCACGTACACCCAAAGAGGCGGGTTCGAATCCAGCCCGGGCCCGCCAACAATGACGGCTGCAACCAAAAAATAGCCGGGCGTTGTGGCGGGCGCCCGTGGGCCCAGCTACTTGGGAAGCTGAGGCAGGAGACTCGCTTGAGCCCAGGAGTTGGAGGTTGCTGTGAGCTGAAATGCCATGGGGACAGCTTGAGGCTCCTGTCTCAAAAAAAAAAATAAAAGAACACACCGAGTTTGGAGCAGCCGTAACAGCAACTCCATGGCCGGCCCGGCGTCTGAACGCCCGACCTCTAATCCTCCCTCCTAGGGGTTCTGGCCCACGCGTCGCAAACGCGGAATCCGCGGCCTGGACGGGTTGGGCAGCTCGTCCAAGGTCACCGCGGCGGCACTCCCTGGTTTCGGAGAGACCAGCAGCGCTGGCGGCTGAAAGGGCCTCGAGCCCGCGGCCAGTTCGCAGCAACCTCTGAGCGGATGAGTTCAGCCCAGCCAGCGACGAGGAACTCAGGCCTGCGCCCGCGGCGGCCCCGGCCTCACTCACCGGCCTCGCTCCCCGCGCCGGGGTCCGTGAGCGCAGCGCCCGCTACGCCGGGGACCGGGCTCGTTTCAGGCTGCGGCCATCTTTCTTGAGGGAAGCGACAAGCAGGCGGACGAGGGGTGGTGCGAACAGCGCGACCTTACGAAGAGGGGGACGCCGAAGCCGCCAGCTTTCCTGAGGGCGGAAGCAGCCGTACGGCCACTGAGGGCAACCAATGATAAAGGTACACGAGGCCACGTGACGGCCGGTCCCAACCCGGCCGTCGCCGCTGCGGCCGCCCGTGGATCGCCGCCTCCGAGCGCCCCCGCCACGCGCGGGCATACAACCCGCGACCTCTGACGCCCGCGCGCTCAGCGCCTCAAGGAAGCCTCCCGCGCGCGCGCGCTCCTCTCAGAGTCTACAGCGCCTGCGCACTGTCGCGCCGGCTTGTGCCGCGCCGGCACAGGGCCATGAAACTGCTGCGGCGCGCAGGGCGGCGGCGGCGGCGGGCGGCGCTGGGGTTGGGCGCGCTGGCGCTGGGCTGCGCAGCGCTGCTCTACCTAGCCCGCTGTGCGCCCGCGGGTCCCACGCCCGAGCCCTCAAGCCGCGCCGCGGCCTTCCTGGCCGTGCTGGTGGCCAGCGCGCCCCGAGCCGCCGAGCGCCGAAGCGTGGTCCGCAGCACGTGGTTGGCGAGGCGCGGAGCTCCGGGCGACGTGTGGGCGCGCTTCGCCGTGGGCACTGCCGGCCTGGGTGCGGATGAACTACGCGCTCTGGAGCGCGAGCAGGCGCGGCACGGGGACCTGCTGCTGCTACCCGCGCTGCGCGACTCCTACGAGAACCTCACAGCCAAGGTGTTGGCCATGCTGGCCTGGCTGGACGAGCACGTGGCCTTCGAATTCGTGCTCAAGGCGGACGACGACTCGTTCGCACGGCTGGACGCCCTGCTGGCTGAGCTGCGAGCCCGGGAGCCCGCGCGCCGCCGCCGCCTCTACTGGGGCTTCTTTTCGGGCCGTGGCCGTGTCAAACCTGGGGGCCGCTGGCGCGAGGCCGGCTGGCAACTCTGCGACTACTACCTGCCCTATGCGCTGGGCGGTGGCTACGTGCTCTCCGCCGACCTGGTGCAATACCTTCGCCTCAGCCGCGACTACTTGCGCGCCTGGCATAGTGAGGACGTGTCACTGGGTGCCTGGCTGGCGCCTGTGGACGTGCAGCGCGAGCATGACCCGCGCTTTGACACAGAATACAGGTCCCGTGGCTGCAGCAACCAGTACCTGGTGACGCACAAGCAGAGCCTGGAGGACATGCTGGAGAAGCACCAGATGCTGGCGCGCGAGGGCCGCTTGTGCCGGCGCGAGGTGCAGCTGCGACTGTCCTATGTCTATGACTGGTCAGCGCCACCCTCACAGTGCTGCCAGCGTAAGGAGGGCATCCCATGAGCCCGCGTCGCCGGAGCCTGCAGGGACCTGGCCTGCCCAGCCGGTGGGGCCACGGAGCAGGTGCCAAACCGCCTCACACCAAGCCTAGGCCACGGCCACCGGCTGTACACCCCAGCGCCACACACGCGTGGTCTCTCTCCAGACTCTGGTCTGGAGTCCAGAGTATCTTGTTCTGGACTCCAGGCGCCCTGAGGGTCTCCAGCGAAAGGCGTCTTGTCTAGGTAGAAGTGCCGTGTTTATGAGTCTTGGCCAGCATCAACCTTGCCTGGAGTGTTCCTTAGGTGTGAGGGCAGAACAGAGCGACCTCGCCACTCGCCCAAAACCCTGAGACTTGTTCTGGAGTTCACCGCCCACCCAGGAAACAGTCCACAGGCTGACCTGCAGACCCTCCCTGTTGCACCTTCCCTACAAGCCGTCATCAAACAGCGTTGCCATTGTTTTACTGGGATAGCTTATGTCCTTTTGTGTTTCACATCGGTATCATTTGTCGTAAGTCTGAGGTTAACTTGGTTTCACATAAATTAGTTTTCTTGATATTTTTGTCTGTCTCCTGAGAATGTATATATGGTAAATATTTGGCAAGTATAATTCATGTGCTTGTGATTTAACTTGTAAAATTTTTTTTTTTTGGAGACAGAGTCTCGAGCTGTCGCCCTGTGTAGAGGGCTGTAGTGTCATAGCTCATAGCAACCTCCAACTCTTGGGCTCAAGCGATCCTTTTGCCTCAGTTTTTCTATTTTTAGTAGAGACGGGCTCACTTTTTTCGGGGCTGGTCTCGAACTCTGAGCTCAAGCAATCCACTTGCAACAGCCTCCCAGAGTGCTGGGAGGATTACAGGCGTGAGCCACTGTGCCTGGCCTAAATATTTTAAATTTTTGTAGATAAGAGTTTAAGTTAGGAGCATGCAGGTCTCTGTTTTTTAAATTGCTTAAGACTAGGTCAGGATTTGGAATTTGTGGGTTAATCTGTCTTTATGACTTGAGTTGACCATGTGGAAGAATTTTAAAGACCAGTTTCTCCTGTAGGCTCACCAGTGTCAGCTCCTCTTCTAAGGAATCTAGTGGAGTGACTCCTCCAAGCAGGGCTGCTTTGTTATTTCAGACTGTGGGCCCAAATTCCAGGAATCTAAACCCTTGGAAGTGTTGATGAGGTTTCTCAAATTCTGTCTTAAGAACACAGGATTTGCTGGCTTATACCCCTGACCACCTCTGACCACCTCATACATACCTTAACCCATCCTCACACCCTCAGGAAGCTTGGGTTTCCTTCCTTTTGCCCCCATTTATTGGGAAAAGTGAACGCTGTGGTCATTGCAAAAGTAAAATAAAGCAACTCGGGGATATATGGAGGCCACAAATCTTCCTTGGCTCCCAACGGCACAGAGGCATGTTTTTCTCTTCTGGCGTCTGACTTGGGTTTTCTGTCTGGGTGGCCTGGGTTGTGCCCCTGCCATCTCTTGTCCCCCGTGGGGCAGGGTAAAGAGGGAAGGTGCAAGCTTATATCTGCCTTTTCATTGCTTTTCCCTTGAGTTCTCAGGCTGTGTGCTTAGCAGCAGGGTAGGATTATTTTTGACTAAAGGTAGAAAAATATCCAGAATTCTGAGTGGTCTCAGGGAAGGGGCAGGGGTTGTTCTGTTGTCAGTGACCTGCACTAGGATTATCCTAACTTCAGAAGGTCGTGACTGGACCAGAGGCACTCGGGGGCAGATGAGATACAAGTTGAGTGTGAGCTTCCCAGTTGGCCACATCAAAGCCAAGAGTAAGGCTCGGCGCCTATAGCTCAACCGGCTAAGGCGCC